ATTGTCTTTCTTGTACACCTTTATTTCAAACTCTTTTGTCCCAGTGATCAACTAAATATTTCTATGTTTGTATTATTAAAGAAGGAACTTATAATCGAATTGATCATCTCTTGTTATAATTTACCTCGTTTTCGTCATCTCCATCGAAGTCGAAGATGGCTAATGAAGTTACAGTACCTCCTACTACTGTCCAGAATATTTCTGTACCTTGTGAGTCTAAGATCGTCACGGAACTATTGCCACCGATGATTGCAACTTGATTTGGAAGCCAACTTAACTTACCAATCATTATATATCTTGCACCATCAGACATCTAATTGCAAGACAATTTAATTTCGTTTAAATTGCACACGTTCGATATTGTTAATAAATTACAGACTTTTATACAAAATTTATATTTTTTATATAGCTAGAGAACTTGGTGAGTCTGTGCTTCATTGCCTTCACCTTTAAATGTCAGACAAATTAGCGTAAAATAAACTCTACTAATTACAGTACCTCTTTGTAAAAAATATCGGAATTATCTTCTATGTTATAGGCCAATACATGAGATGCGGTTCCAATTAGAAGAATATCTCTCTCATCATCGTTAAGCCGACCAGTGCATAATGCTGTAATCTAATGTTGATCAATTTGTAGCTTTAGATATCTTGAAGATTAATTTTTCCCAGTGTTTTTAAGTGATTATACCTCAGTTCCTATATGAAGTTCCGCGAGTTCTCCGCTCCAAGATAATTTCCTGTCCGATTGTTCATGATCGTGGCTGGTTATTTGTGGTTGCCTGTGAGGGCTGTGTACCAAGATATTTCCACCATAAGTTGCAGCCACTAGGCAAGCATGAGAACCGTCGAATTTACCGGAAGTTACGAGGCCAGGCTCTATGTGTTTCTGAATATTTAGAGAAAACGCTGCCATTTTAAGACCAGCCTCAATGGTTACACATGTCCTAATGTACAATGGTAACAGTTTGTGGCCTTGTAGTTTGTAGCCAATGGGTAGTAGATTATTGATCTTTTCTTACCTGTATGAACTTTACCTAGTGTACTAAACTGTATACGTACCAATACTATAGAATTATAGTATATGAAGGTATACATTACGTTGCAAAAGGTTTTTGTTTCAGATGTTATTACAATGATGAGATAAAAGATAAATGAGGAAATTTAATTAAATCATAGAATTTATTCAGGGAAAGAGACAATCAAATTTTTTACAATTGTAATTATGAAAGTACATTGTAAGTTTATAAATAAACGATTTCCACACATGCACTCTTGGAGGCACCACATACACTCTATGTTACTGTCTTTGGGAACTACCTCCTGCTCCACCAGCTTCTGGATTTGTTGTAGATGATAGAATAATAAAAATCAATGCAGGAACAATGTACATCCACTGAAATTTGAAAACAATAGTATATAAGTTGCACTTGACAAAATACTGTTTGAAACAAGGAACTTACATATTTTGTAAGGAAAGATCTATTGTCTTTCGTCTCTCCTCTTTCCCTTGCTTCTCTCTCACGTTCAAGTTTCTGAATATATGTAGCAGTATCTGGAATTGGCCCGCCATCCGGGTATTTAACAACAACATTGGTCGTCCACATGTTTGTGAATGGATTCTCTGCGCTACAAGGGCCAGGTGATGATATGCTAACAACTATTGGTTCGGCTGCACTATCAAGCCAAATTGTTATAACATCTTCAAGATCAGAACCAAGAAGATAACACTATGTATGGAGAAAACATTACAAGTAAAATACAAATATATATATACATACACGTGTAAAGTATAAGATATAAGAGAAATGGAATTACCGCAGGCAGAGAAGTTAAAAATGTTATTTCATTTCCCGAAAAGGTACGAGCTACTGCTTTGAGCTTGTACTTGCCATCATGTTTGGCAAGAGTTTTTAACTGGTTTATATGAGGCTGTAACAATCCATTTTGTCCAACAACAGAGACACCACTACGAACACTAGATACTGTAACGTTACCTCGTTCTACAAATATGGGTTCTGACTCGTCGTTAAATGCGTGCCATAACCGCAATTGCAACCAGCCATCATAATCGAGTTCGTTCTAAAATTTTAGTGATCATTTAAAATATGATACGATATGAAAAATTAGAAAAAAAAAGAATTGGAAAATATACTAACCCCACGAGCTGATGATGATACGCTGACTAACAAACTTATAAAGATATATATCGTATACATTATTAAAATTATTTACTTATTTATTCTCAAAAGTTAAACTGATGTCATTTTATAACGTAACCTTGCCTTAATTTATCGAATGAAACCAACAGAATGTGCGAATTTTTTCACACTATTGTACAAGTGGTTTGACAATCTGCTAATGTTCAATAGGTTATTTATTTATAATTTTAACATCTATTAATTAGTTGGATACATTTATTGAATATTTTGTTAAAATTGATTCATTACTGAATTCTATTTCGCCGAACTTTTAAAAAATTTAAAAAATTCATTGGGTTTTAAAATTAGATTGTACATGAGAGTGCAATAATTTCTACAATTTCTCTTCTTGGTGATTAGTTTTTAGTGCACATTTATAAAATTTACGTATTTCAAGGTAAAGTACTATACTTCCTTCACTAATCAACAGTGAATTGTGTTCAGTGTGACTACGCCTATGGTAATTTTTAGCATTATACTATCTAGTAGTTTTTAGTATTATAGTATCTAGTATAATATATAAGAATTATATATACTGATAGCATATAAAGCTAAAAAAAAATCTACGATCGTTAAATAATTAAACGCTATTAAATACTTAAACAGTATAAATAATTATACATATTAAAAGTAGATAGATTTATATAAATTTTGATTAATATAAAAATTATATCTATTATAGTAACTATAATGTACGAACACACCATCTAAACTATATTCGTTTTGATGTCTGTAGATGTCGCTCTTACAAACTTTCCACCATTGTATACTTGTCGCGTCACTAAAAAACGTGTGTTAGTAGCAATGATACTTGAAATTAATACTTGTAATCTTATTTAGATACGGAAAAATATAGTAATGTAATTATACATAGTGCTATAAGAATTTGATGTATTCGTAGCAAACGGCCCGATCGTGAAATTGATCGTGATAAATGATACGCCATTCGAGTCATCTCGTCAAGTGTGTACAAGTATATACACTGACTTTTTTCCTTTCATTTCGTGCAGTTTTCTTTTAAATTGACTGTAAACTTAAATTTACATTGCTTATGGAGTAGCAAAGGAAGGAGTTTCCTCATACTCTTCATCCACATGCTGTGCTACACAATTTTAGGTTAAGTCGCAATGTTGGGTTAGGCAATAGCCGCCCGGCAATGTTCTTAACATTTGTTAATTGGTTTCTACACATTAGTCAAAAATATCCTGCACTCATAAATAACAATAGTCACTTGTTGGAAACATCTAATCTTATCTTGATTAGATATTTGTATTTTACCTTTATTAGTTAAAGTTAGAGTTTAATTTATAAAGACAAAAACTAAGAGTTTATGACATAGAGAAACATTAATCTACTCGATGAGACAAACTCAATTGTGCACCACAAATTGAAATTAGAGAATGGGTCGTTTACTGGGAATCAAAATTTTAATTATACTCTTTCAAAATTTTAATTATATTTACAGCATAACAAACTACATTTTCTATGTTGCAGATGATATACTTTAATGTACATATTTCTAACTTGTAATCAAGCAACGCTCAAATCGATATTTGAATTCATTTGTAATAAAATAGTTTATTAAGGTAAATTCAATTGATTTTGTTATAAAATACATATATGTAATAAATGTAATGATACAAAATATATATGATATTTTAATATAATGATATTTTAATATACTTTATGAGCTTAATCTATTTATTATAGTTTTTTGTATCACGTTTCTTTTAGAAATGGATGATAAAGATCCAACAAGTGTTATGAAAATGATAGAAGATCTGAGATCAGGTTCTGAAGCATATCGTAGAAGTAATAGCAACAGTGTGTCTCTAAGGTTGTCTGGTATTGCATATGCACCAGTGGCATTTAGCGAACCTGATGAATGTCCATCATCTAAAAAACGAAGGCTAAATGATTCTAATAATTCTAATTTAAATAAGGCTGAGGTTGAAAATGTTGAAATTGTTCCAACTAGTCCATGGGAATTTAGAAGATTAAAAGGACAGGTAATATACTCAATTACCGTTATATAATTGTTTAAAAATGTAATAAAATTTCAAAGAAATATATTTGTTTTATTAGATCGTGTCCTTAAAAACAAGATTATCTCATCAGGAAGCTGCTGTACAACAGCTTCATAAAATACGTAGACAAATGGAAGAGGTTTTTGAAAAGGAAAAAGGTATTTTACAAATGCAGGTGGAACAGGATAAGCAAATGATTAAGCAACTGGAAGTACGTCTTGATATTTCACGTAGAACAATTCAGGATGCACGCGATGCACAGGTCGCTGCAGAGAAAGAATTGTTTCAGGTACAGTGTCTATATGTATTTAATTAAATTAGTTATTTTAATATCGTTCCATTTCGGTGCTTAATATGCAAAATATATATTGTCTGTAGGTAAAAACAAATTTGGAGCAGAAAACTATGTTACTAATGAACGAAAATGCGAAGCTGTTGGAAAATCTTAAAAATGCGCCTGTACAAGAGAGTACGCCAGCAAAAAAAACTTCTACTGATGTATCTGAAACACAACTAAAACTGGATGCGGCTCAAACAAGAATAACACAGCTGGAAGAAAAATTAAAGGAATACCAAACTAAGCAACAGGAGCTAGAATTGCAAAATGTGGAACTCCAAAGTACGAAAATAAAGGTTGAAAGACTGGAATCAGAAAAAGCGTTATGGGAAGAAGGGAAGTTGTTAACTGTGAGAGCAGCGAGAGCGAGTGATCTTCAAAAAGAGCTCAATGCTGCGAAAGAAACTATTGCTACATTAAGGGAATCTGTTCGAGGAAAATTACTTTTAGAAGAACAAATGGCCAGTGTAACAAAAAGGTATATTTTCTTAAGATGTTTCGTACAAATTTTCATGATTAATATATTCACATATGTTTGTAAATACGTTTGTAACTTTATAGATTAGAACATACAGAAAAATTGGAGCAACAGGTTGCCTCATTTGAGGCCAAAAAAACGGAGCTTTCATTGTCTCTGGCCAAATATGAATCTATTGGAATTACCGGTGGACCAATTATTCTAAAACGTGAATTAAATCGTTTGCAACAAGCCGAATTAGTCTTGAAAGCAGAAGAAGGACAGCTTAGATCTAAACTGGACGCTGCGTTGAGAGAATCGCATACATTGTCAAAGAATTACGAGGATGCCAAAAAATTGGTCATGGATGTTACAGATTCCAAGGAACAATTAAACAAATTAGTGAGCAGGTTACAAAAAAAGACGATGCTTGTTACAAGAGAAAGGGACAGTTATCGACAACAGTTGGACTTGTATGAAAAGGAGATGACGATAGACAGTAATAATGCGATGACCGAAAGAATTCCTGCATTGGAGCGCACAATAGATGTTTATAGGTAATTTTACATTCCGTTTCAAATTTTTCATTTTAGACGACGATATGATGACTGAATTATGATGATACATTTATAATTGCAGAGAATTAGTTGCCAAATTAGAGAGTGATCTCCAAGCAGCCGAGAGTCATAATCAAACAGATGAATGTAATAAATTAAAGGAGGAAGTTGAACGATTGAAGGGTGAATTGGAACATCGAGCACTGAAGGGCGATTTTAATTGCAATGCGAGAATATTGCATTTTACCATGAATCCTGCTGCTATCGCAGAGCAACAAGCGGAGGAGAAACAAAAGGCGTTGTTACGCGAGGTGGAGGAGTTGAGGACAAAAGTAGCGCAAGGTGGAGCCAACACGACGACATTCGTTCTTCAAGCACAAGGTAATTTTTTCCCAATATATTATTACTATGATTTTTATTAAAAGAAAAAAAAATCAATCATTAATTAAAGATATCTTTATATAAACACTCAGTTAATACTACAGTGGCTACTAAACTTATATATAATAATAAATAATAGTAAAACGTAGGAAATACTGTATAATGTGAAAGATAATTATGAGTAACTGAAATCGTATTTAAAATATTAAAAAGAGTATGGAAGGATTTTTCTGAGATCTACTTGGGCTAGTAGAAGAAGAGTACTCTAAAAAGTTTTAAAGACAAACTATAATTTATAATTATGTAACTAACTGTTACTGTAACTTGTATATTGATAAATCTTTCTAGTAGCTTAACTGAATCTATAATTAAAGCGACACCTTATATTTATACTTACACTATATATATATTTATACTTTAGAGAAGAAAATATTATTAGAATTATTACTATTACTAAAATTATTCTATTGTACATTTTATGTTGCTTTATCATGCTATTTTATATAGAAATATTTTATATTATTGTTTTTACATACAATTATTTTTATAAATAATATTGAAGATCTTTTACGAAAGCAGTGAAACAATGAAATGAACCTTTGCTCTTTCTAACTTTGCAACTGTAATTCGACTATTTTGCGTATTGCACATTCAGTGCAATTTCGTTTTATATTTAGCTGGATTTTCATTTTACATCTAGAAATAGCGGAACTCAAACAGACCCACGAGATCAAAATAGCTCGCCTGAAGGAGGCCTTCAAGGCATCGTCGCAAGAATACCGGCAAGCTTGTTACCAATTGTTTGGTTGGCGAGTGGACAGGACGAAGGAGGGTCGATACAAATTATCTAGTCAATACGCCGAATCGCCAGAGGACTTTTTATTTTTTAAAGTTGGGGAGGAGGGAGTGGACCTTCTAGAGACCGCGTTCTCTGCAACGCTTGGCACATTGGTGGAGCGTCACCTGCAGCATCAACATAGCGTGCCTATGTTTCTAAACGCAGTGCAAACAGATCTGTTTAATCAGCAAACTATGACGAACGTTATGAGCTGATCTTCGTAATTGTCATTGGGTTTGATCTGTTTTTGTACTTCAAGACACGGTCAAAAGTCAGTTTATCACTAGCCATTCTTTCAAATCGATTTCAAAAAAAGGAACAAGAGTTTCGTAACTCGTTCAAAGTGTACATATGATTTTTTTTTTTGAAAAATTTACTTTGTTACATCGATTATACTAGGTTTCTCATGTTTGTACGTCTTTTTTTTTTTATTGCTAGTAGATAACTCTTGTTTGTTGCGTAATCATATGTTTTTAAGCAAGTAGCACATAGAAGTAGAGGTACAGTCAATAAAGTTGTTTCTATCCAAACGATATTCTTGCACGTGATTTTCTCTGTCTTGAGTGATTTTGTACATTACGAGTAATTGTTTCAATCTACATTTCACACGATTACTCATACTTACTCAGTTGAACAGTTAGACATTTCGTTCGCTGGACTGGCGTTTCAAACGAAATATCAGTTTGTGCTCATTGACGCGAGACTAATCCATCATAGCTACGCTATCATTATACGCTTTACTTATCACAGAAGCCAGTCAATTGCCAGAACGACGATTGACCGAGACGGTTTGTAACAGAGTTACTAGAACTAAGATCCAGCGTTCTGAAATAATAACGTTTAAGCGATTATCATTCCTTATAGCAAACAAATTGTTTGCATTTCGAATAAATTCTTATCGAACATTTTACCTCTCTGTCCCTTTTGACTCTTTGATGCTTTAATCTTGATCCTTCGTCACAAAACTGCTTACTGACTTGTTCTACTCCATTGTTGGGGGTTGAAATTAGTTTGACTATTGCGGTGATATAGCATTTAACGCGAGAAACACAGGAACGCTACTCTCTATAACTTAGGGATTTCCTGGTGAAACTTTAGTTTCTGTCTGTGTGTTCGAATAGGTTGACTCAAGACAGACGATGTTAATCTCGCGTCCAATTTCGTCAGTACACGGAACTAGAAACTTTATGGAAAGAAACGCTGTGTTAACGTACACGGACTCGATCGTACGTCTGTTTGCTTTCACTCCAGTTTCTTGTAAATTTCGTTCATTAGTTAACAATGAACAGCCATGTGACAAAACGAACCAAACGTTCCTATTAATTATTACACAACTGCAAAAAGATTAGAAATTGATGGTACAAGAAGAGGAGCATAATTTCAATTTTCAATTCAAAAATCACTCTGTTGAGGAAGGGAAATAGAAGAAATTATAGTAGCAATGAAAAAAGTACATTGCTACAATTCTCTTAGAAACAGTTGAAGAAGAGGAATGGAAAATTCTTAGTCCAAGAGACCATCAACTTGCACGGTTCATCCTTACTCATATAACCTGCTCAAAATTACTTTGCCGGGTCTGTGAAAACATATACAAGGGGTAAAAATGTGCGAGGAAATTCCTCTTGAGGAGAGGAACGTGTAAATCGTTCATCTCAATTACGGTAGCGGTTTTACCAGGACTGTGCAGGCAGAACTTTTCGAATTCTGCACGAGTATGGAACGCCATGGCTGCGGATCGCACGGGCCATTCCCCAGGGATCCGTTAACAGACTACTCCCGCGTCCCTATATATTTGAGGAAGAGATGCGCCGGTCTCCGAGGGACGATTCCAATTGCATTGTCGGCGAAGAAAAACCGTCCGAGGGTGACGGCCTTTATTAGCGAGCCCGAGTCACCCTCGTGCAACTTATGAGAACACAGAATTGAATGTGCAGATACACGTGTTTCTTTATTATTGCACGAATGTAATCAAAAGGAGGCGACATGACGCGAGTAAGAGAATAGCGGTGGGTAATAATTAAAGAGCGAGCTGTCTTGCTGTTTGCAGTTGCAGTTTCTTTTTCTTATATGATCTTTCTAAAATACTTTATTTTTTATCTCACTTCACGTTGCATCGTAATG